CAAAGCCTAACCTATGATATAACAGGAAAGGTGATTTTCATGGTGGCATGAGTACTTTTGGGAGTAGCAAATCAAAGTTTCCAAATATGATATAGATCAAGGCTACTGCATCACTGTTGGAACTATATAAGATGAAAACATCTAAAACAAATGAAAGAAAGGCTACATTGGATCATAACAACAGGGAATCTTAGCCCATGAACCAGTTTCCAGATTTGATCCAATTTGCATAACAGTTTGCATGAAGGGATTACCAGCTTACTCACACAAAGGACCTTAATAAAATAGCTAAGAGTTATACTATTAGCATTTCTCAAGTCATTGTTCATAGCATTTTTCAAGTGTAATTGTACCCCCGAGGACATGAAACAATCAGACTTTTCAGAGTTTATTAGAGTCTGGTTCTGAATAGCCACTGAGGCCAGGAGACCCCACCCCCAAAATATTGTGACCCTCCACTTAAAGTAGAAGCTTATGGAGGTCAGGGTATTAACAGAAATTTACCTGTAGTCAGACTCACAGTATGTCCAGTGAGTCCCCAAACTTACCTTATTGTTATTTTATCAGTTCCAGACTCTATATTTGGAATCGATATATTTAAAACTTGGCAGAACTTTCACATTGGTTCCCAGATATGTGGAGTAAATATGAATCCTGTTGGAAAGGCAAAATGGAAGCCTTTAGAGTTGCCTCTGAATGGAAAAATACATAATCAAAGACAGTATCACATCTCTGAAGGAATTGAAAAAAAATAGTGCTGCTATCAAGGACTTGAAAGATACAGGCATGAAGGTTTCCATTACACCCACCTTTATCTCAGCTATCTGGCCAATATAGAAGACATATATATCCTGGAGAATAATAGTTGACCATTGAAAACTCAATCAAGAATTGATTCCACTTGAAACTGTCATACCAGATGTGATACTTCCAGGAGACACAACAAACATTCTACTGAACTGTAAGCTCAGACATCCACCAGACCTATTTGAGCTTCTGATTCCCTTAAGCTAGTAGAATAAGAAAGGAATTACATTATTAGGAAGGGTGGCTTTTTCAGATTACTGAGGTGAATTTGGAAGTATTCTCCACAATGTAGATAAGAACAACTATGTATGAAGTGGATCCATTAGGGCATCTCTTGATGATTCCATGTGCTGTGATCACAGTCAATGGGAAACTACAATAGTGTGATCCAGGCAGGATGATAATGGGCACAGACTCTTCAGGAACAGAAAGATCAAGACCTCTAAAGTACTTAGCTGAGGATGGAGGAAATACAGAAGGGATAGTAAATGCCAGCTAAATCCAGGTAACCAGTACCAGCAACTAGGATTATAGTTGACATGAATGTTTCTGTCATATTTTGTTAAGAATGTGTTGATAAACACATTTATGTTTTCTTTTCTTGAATTTTTATCATTTAATATAATATCAATTAAGAAAATATCAGTGTTTAATCATATTTAAGTTTTGAGATATCAATAGACACTCTGTCAAGGGATATTGCCAACTATTCTGAAATTTAATATATTTGTGGTTGTTTAAGTGATAGTTTTATCATGTTAGTCATAATGTTGTCCTGCTCATTATTTTCATTTGGAAATTAAGCATGACATGAGGCGATGTGATTCTGTGTTAAGCTGAGGAGGTGTGGACCTCTAATGGCTATTCTGTCAACTTGACTACATCTGGAATAAACTAAAACCCAGTGAATGGATATACATGTTTTTTTTCTTAATTAAATAGCTTGAAATAGGAAAACACATTTTTTAATCTGTATTTTTTGAAATGGGAATATACACATTTATTCTGCATCACCCCTTTTTGTGACAGCCTAAGTATAAGATACATAAAAAGGAAGCTTGCTCTTTAGGGGACTCTTGCATATAAATAAGACAAACTGAGGTATCCAGCCTCATGGACTGAAAAAACTACGGTATTCATGGGCCTTCTATTGATAGATATCAATTGTACTTCTGTATCAGACCCTGTAGGCCATTCTAATAAATTATCATATATTTATAGAATAAATAAATATTCATTCCATAAGATTTTTTTCTCTAGAAAACCAGATTAATACATAATTTTTCAAAGTACTGAAATGAAAGTTACAAAACAGCAGAGAGCATCAGTCTCACTCCATTGGAAAAACAAAGGATTAGGAAGAAGATAATACTTTTTTTGGCAGATTACATTTGAAGGGTGTCACACCGTAGAAATAATCTAAGCTGGATATTGAAGTCAACAGTACTGAAAGAAGTTGAATTTTAAATCTATCCAGAATTAAATCAGAACAGTGGATAACAGAGTTTCAGTGACATGCAAAAAATGTGAGTACTAAATATATAAATTATACCACTGTTGTGATGGCCATAATCTAAAACTAAAAGTAAAGCTCTCAAAGACCATCTGTACCACCACCTAACTGCAGGCATTGTCAGAAATAAGCACCTTTCAGTAACAACAGTATTGCTTGTTACCATACTTTGATGTTCATAATAAGCACCAAACTGATAAACTGATACAAGATGAATTTAAAGAGACTAGAATTTTAAAAATAATATATTAATTGTAGAAATACAATGATATAACAATCATTTCAATAATTTTATAAATTTAAATCGATTGAATATTTCAATAAAAAGATAAAACGTTCAACAACAGTTATTTTAAAACTACTGTGAAAGATAAGCCATTAGCTGAATTTGTACATGGCAGTCTCTTTATCATACTCCACATGATGGGTGGATTACTGTTGCTAAATGGTCTGTGCAAACAAGATGATTTTTATGCTGAACACCTGTTTTCCCTGTGAGTGTCAGGAATTTTATATGATCCAGACAGAGATTTCCACTGACTATCCTCCAATACAAGCCCCAAGTGCTGAGTACTTAATGAGCTTCTACAGAATCTAACATTTCCCTGCAATAGACCAACCTGAACATAAACAAACTTGAGTTATAAGTCTTCCTAGTAAAGGGTTCTGTTTGATAATATTTGAAGATTCTTAGTACACCAAATAAAGTAAAAACTTAATGTACAATTATGTGTGTGTGTGCATGTGTGTGTGTGTGTTTAATGTTAAAGGTGTAAGGAAGTACTAATTTTTTCTTACTATTTGAATTTTATTTTCTTAAAATAAAGGGACGATAAGAACTTCAATTGGCAAAGATGGCTCAGAAGCCTGAGTTTAGTGAGAAAGTCCATTGAAAGAAATAGCCTAGTACTTGTTTATAAACTTGAGATAACTTTGAGAACAAGCAATGGTTGACAGTGGCCGGACTGAATAAGGATTTTTCATGATAAGGAACTGAAGTAGAACATGTTACCAGTGATAGTATTGATTGGAGATTTTGCTAAATGAAGAAAGTCTTATCATATAATTGGCTTGATACAGAATAAAAAGATATAATTAATCACAATCAGAAAAAAATTTCAAATGCAGAAATGTTGGAGATGAAAATGCACTTTTTATTGGAGTTGAACTAAGGATAATAGTGTGAATCAGTTTTCTTCAAAATAGATGTATATAGAAATATTTATGCTCCAGGTATCAAAAAAAATCCTCTTGGCATCTTGCCAAATGACAGAGAATGGTGATATGTCAACAGAATTGAGCAAATTTAGTATCTAGTTACTTTTAATAGCAAGTCCCTGCTAAAATCTAAGAAGTGTGTTGAACAAATAGACAGCTCTAGCATTAAGGGAGTAAAAGATTGTGTGACTTTGGAACATTGTCTTTTACTATCTAAAAGAAAATTTTCCAGTAAGACATGGATAAGTGGAGAAAACCAAGCAAATTGGAATATTGTTCTATTATTCAAATAAAATCAATAACTGGGGACTGTATAAATATATGGATGAATCAATCACATTCTATGAATTAGAACTAGGAATCTAGAGCATCCTACTGATTGAAGTAAATATGTGAATTTATTTATAGTGACACAAGGAATACTGTTCCCCTTTTAAATTTTTATTTTGTTTAGATATGCTTTGAGATTTCATATCTGTGTACAAAATATTTTGATTAATTTGTCATTTCATGTCTTCATATTACCCTCCCACCTCAAACTTGAAATGATTTTTATATCATTGTATTTCTACAATTAATATATTATTTTTAAAATTCTAGTCTCTTTAAATTCATCTTGTATCAGTTTATCAGTTTGGTGCTTATTATGAACATCAAAGTATGGTAACAAGCAATACTGTTGTTACTGAAAGGTGCTTATTTCTGACAATGCCTGCTATTCTTTCCAATTTCTCCTTCCACTTTTATATTTGCTTTTTGTTTAAAGGTTTATCTATTTATTTAAACCTTTATGGATATACGTGTTTGCCTGCACATATGTCTGTGCACCACATCCTTATCTTGTGCTCATGGCAGCTGCAGGAGAGTGGCAAACCAAATAAAACTAAAATTACAAGTTTGTGAACTGCAATGTGGGTGCTTGGAATTGACATCTGGTCCTCTATAAGAACAGCAAGTAACTTTAAATTTTATCTATTTCTCCAGACTCCAAAACATCTGTTCTTTATCCTTTACTTCTTCGTCTTCTTCTATCTTTTTTTTCTTTTTCTAAAAAATTGAGTAGAATTAGATTTGCCAGTGTTTTGTGTGGTGGTGTACATCTTTAATACCAGATCTTGGGATGCAGAAGAAGGCTGATGTCTGACCTTGAGCTCTATGGGGCTAGTTTCAGGAGAGCCAAGGCTACACAGGAAAATTATGTTTCAAAAAACCAAAACCACAAAACAAATTAACAAACAAGACTGATAAGAGCTGTCTATATATTCTTTTGTATAAAGACATCCAGTGTAACAGAAACAACTTACATGTGGTCATCCCTGAAGAAAACCGACTCTTCCTATTATGAAAGCTATTACAGGTAGCAACTATGTAGATGGGCTAGGGTTCATGTATTCCACCCTGAACCGTGATAGAATCTTTCCTGACTTGATCTTGTGCAGGGTTGGGACAGGAAGTTGCAGCTGCGGTTATGTTCATAAGTGCAGTGTCTCTGAAATATACAGACAACAGAATTGTGTCACAATACTTTCTAACCTCTTACAAACAGTATAACCCCTCTTCAAGGATGTTTCTCAAGACACTGGGAGCAGGCTGATACTGAATTCATTTTGATAATGAGCACTCTACAGGTACTTACTCTCTGCACTTTTACTAGATGTGAACTGCTGTATTTGTCAGCCCCTGCTGGAATAAAAAGGTTTTCTGATGAGGGATGAGGGCTGCACCAATCAGTGGGCATAAAGAAAAGTTTATAAAAAGGGTCAATTCTGTGTCTATTTAGCAAATAACAATAGCAGGTATTCACTGGGATATATGACATCCAGAAACTTGGCTTACAGTACTGGGTAGAGTTCCATCCTATAGAGCTGGCCTTAAACAAAATACAGAATGCTTTCACTTATCATTCTTTTGAGAATCTTTCTTTAACAATCATATTTATTTTAAAGGGTTTAGAGAACGAACCTTAAAGTGGGGCAGTCAGAGAATACTGTCCTGGTTACTTGACTAGGTTAACAGAGTAAAAAAAATAATTATGAGTCAGCTGATGAGACAAAGCAAGAAAAGAAAATTATATTTTTTATTCTTGACAAAGGTACATAGATTTAGTGTAATAAGGTGGTATTTAGCACATCCAAATAGAATGAAATATACAACATAAATACAAATCAATAAAGAAAGTAAGCAATTATTGACAGTAAGGGGAGGGGTTTTTCGGGTGTAGAATATATGTCCCTTTGAAACATGTATGCATTTATTTTTAAAATTAATATTAATATATTCCCACATTCATTCCAATAACTCTTTGAGGCTAAGTAAGACCCTTGCCAGCAGTTATATACAAAGGAATTCTATGGCAAGGACCAGAAGAACCATTCTCTTGAAATAAAACAATAAATTAAAATAGCTTCCCATCTCTCAGGGTCTGTAATAGCATAGCACTCTAAAAAGGAGGATAAGCACTTCACTCCAACAGGTAAACATGCCTCCTTTTCATAAACACATTAGACATTCATTTTCTTTCCCCCCTGGGTAACATCAATTAGCAAACACAGATGGTCACTCACTCCTACTAGCAAGTAACTTTAGTATAGAACATGTGTCATAGTTGCTCCTGATTGGGTGCCTTATTCAAAGACTAGTAATCGTTTGCAAACCAGAATGGGTGACATATGTTCATTATCGAAAATAATTTTGTTCTGACTGAGAAATAAGTAAATTGGATTACCTGAGATATAAGCCACATTCTGTTTTAACACTTACTCAATGATCAAGTGAAAACTATTTTCTTTTTCTGCTACGTTCAGGGAAATTTCTGGGCTGAGAAGAGACTTAATTTTTTTTTAAATTTATCTATTTTTGAGAATTTCATAAAAGACTACAAAACATTGACATATTTAGTGTTACTTGTATATACATATGTTTAAGGCTGACCACTTGGGATTTAATAACCTATCAGCAGCTTGTGTCCTTCAAATCCGATTCTCTCTCAGCTTTTCATCTAGGGTTGGGTATCCATAAAATTTCTCCATCCGCATTGGTAGCCATTGGTGTTGCCATTATTCAGGTCTTGCTTAGGCAATCATACCGTTGAGATTTCACAGGTGCAGCTTTTCTGATGTGTTTGAAAGATATTATCTAGTAGCTGAACTACTGGTCTTCTGACTCTTACAATCTTTTCACCTCTCACATAATATTTTTTGAAACTTATACAGAGTGATTGCATGGTAGATGTAGCAACTGGAGAGGAGGACACTGTGATCAGTCCTCCTTTGCATTTTACCCCTATAAAAAGCACATCCTACAACAAAGCACACAGATAGCTGACCTGTCACCAAAGAAATTTGTGAAACTGATGATCAATTTTCATTACATGTCTAGTATTGATAAAAATATAACACAATAAAATATTAATTTTATCCAGTGTCCCTCTAGATAGTAAACATGTGAAAATTAAGAGTTTGAAATGATTAAAATCTGTAACGCTGCTGTAGGTTAATGCTGTGAATGTGTGTTTTTAGAAGGTAGTGCTATTAAAAGAACATGTAGATCCTGTATGATATCAGGTGTGGTGGCCAAAGTAGGTCATTAAGTGTCAACATTCGAAGGATAGTACAATCCCATTTCTTGTCTGTCTGTAATGTAATCTGTTGTGATGTAACACCACTTTTTCCACAGTATCTTCCTCACTATGTTGTATGGAAGCCCTATGAAATACTTAGCCAAAGCACATTTCCCATTCCATTACTTCTGTGCACTATTATAGTCACATCAGGATAAAGTAACTGAGTCCGACTTCACTGTGTGCTGTCTTTCAAATAATAGTAAATGTACTGTAGCTAGTTTTTTCTTATTTTGATGATTATGCTGATGAACATGATTGGGAAAATATTAAAATATGTATGGCTGATGCATTATTTTTCAAATTTTGGTTTATGAAATGATTTTGGATTAAATTTTATTTAATCTTAAACCTATCTCAATATTCTGTGGGAGAGGATAGTAGAGACAGTGACTGTAAAATTTTTGAAAGTGAAAATTAGCTTAAAATCATTATTATAGTGTGCTTCAAAAATTATGCAAATATTTCAGTGCTTCCTTTCTCATTTACTTATTCCCCATTCTGTGGAAATTATTATATATAGCTACTATATAAGCAAATGTAACATACATTGTTGTTCTGCATTTTAAATTATCTAAATGGGTTGGTATGTTCATATATTTTTGGATGTTGTTTAGCTAATGTTAGAAATGTTATACTTTTCTTTATCTTGGTAATTTTTTATCTTAACAGTTTTATAAGACAAAGCTTATTCACTCTGTTTCTAAAGAACAAGTTGTTTAGATTTTCCCACTCCTTACTTAATATATTTAGCAACTTGGTAGGTTTACTGAGTATTATCAAATAAACATGGTATAATATCATTATAAATATACTTAAAATTAATGGGCATATGAAAGACATACATTGTAGAGATAAAAGTGTGGCCATCAATGCTGAATAACCACATATATATCTCAATTCCTGTAAACAAATGTTTCAGAGAGTAAAAAGTCTTGTTTATTTTAGTGAGAAAAGTCAAAATTTTGCCAATTCGGTGTAGACAGATTGTATTTCCCACTTTTCCAGCCACAGCATTCTATGCTAACAATGTGGCTGGGGCAAGGGTAGGGTGTGGATTGAACTTAGTCTAACTCTGAAATCAAAACTGAAAGACAAAATCAAGGAGCCATTATGGAAGCTCTCTTAGTCTTCTGTGCCATAAATAACTTCATGTTCAGAAACAAAGAAAATAGAAAAGAGGTCATAACTGATATTTATCTCAGTTCATCTTCTTTTAAAGTCAGAATCCCAAAGTAATCTGTGTGAATGAGTAAAGATTGGTTTTAAATAGACACAAACTGACTCTGTATATAGAAAAGGCATGACAGGGGTAAAATGAATGAAAAAAAGTGTCATATTAAAAGCTGGACATATAATTAGGTCTATTATTTGAAAATCAAGTAGTTTTTACTAAAAGTTTAATTGGCCTGAATATTATTGAAGATATTCTGAATAACTAGGCCATTAAACCTTTCTATTTTTCACAAGCATGTTGATTCATAATCCTTTAATTAGTGATGAGAAATGGAAATTTTGAATTATTCTAGCCTTCCTGGTGTGAAAAATTCAGCAAAACTAAACTTCAGAATTTAACAAGAGAATATTACTCCAATTAAAGAAATGTTGAGACATGAATTTGAGTTCTGTGTTTTCTTTTTAACAATATGAGTTTTTCATTTTATTTGTGAAAACAAGCATTCCAGGAGGTTAATTGCTCCTAAAATATCACAACTCTGTTTTCTTTTATTGGTATGGACTATTGTGTCATAATCAAAACTAAATGGATGTATTTTCAAATATTATCTAATTTATTAAAATATATAACATCTCCAAATATCATTTAATAAGTAAAATTAAGTGAACAAATAGTTTTTTTTTTTTTTTAAGAATAACTGGCCTTCAAGTTCACATCTGTGCCCAGAAGCAGATCCTGTGCTCCAGCCCTCACTCCCACCATACCCACAACCGGAGACAACTTGATCCCCAGGAGTTCTGACATAACCAGGCTCACAGATCAGACTTTCCAGAGCCTGTCATATACCCAGAGACAGCCTGACAGAGGCCCAACATAGCCAGTCTCACAGGAGGAACAGGCTCGAGTCAGAGATAGGCCAGTTAACACCAGAGATAACCACATGATGAGAGGCAAGCATAAGAACATAAGCAACAGTAACCAGTGCTATTTAGTAATATCAGAGTCCAGGTTTCCTACCACAACAAGCCCTGACAAGCAAGATTCTGATCTAGAATTCCATCTCATGAAGATGATAGAGGACCTTAAGGAAGACATAAATAAATCCCTTAAAGAAATACAGAATACAAGTATACAGATAGAAGCCCTGAAACAAATGAATCCCTTAAAGAAATACAGGAAAGAACAAAGAGGTGAAGGAATTGAACAAAACTGTCCAAAATCTAAAAATGGAAATAGTAACAATAAAGAAATAACAAATCCTGGAAATGGAAAAAAAAAAACAGGAAAGAGAGCAGGAGTCATAGAAGCAGGCATCACCAAAAGAATACAAAAGATAGAAAAGAGAATCTCAGTCATAGAACATACCACAGAGGACAGTGACACAAGAGTCAAAGAAAATACAAAGTGCAAAAAGCTCCTAACCCAAAACATCCAAGAAATGCAGGACACAATGAAAAGACTAAGCCTAAGAGTAATAGGTATCAAAGAGAATGAAGATTCCCAATTCAAAGAGCCAGATCTTTAACAAAATCATAGAAGAAAATTTCCCTAACTTAAGAAACAGATGCCCTTAAATGTACAAGAAACCTACAGAATACCAAATAGATTGGCCCAGAAAAGAAATTCCTCTTGTCACATAATAATCAAAACACCAAATGCACAGAAGAAAGAATATTAAGAGCGGTAAGGGTAT